CGTGAATATCATCACTTTCCCGGATGGTAGCAAATATCATTCCGATGTAGCATTCGGAGGTGACGGCGCCACGATGCCAATGCCACTCGTCGACGGTTTAGTACACAAGAACCTTGGAACCCAGCAAATCCGACTCAAGAGAGATTGGATACCTCATCAAGTCCACAAAACAGAAGAGACCAAACTCTGGATCTATCAGTATCGAAACGGCCAAGACAAAGAGTGGAACTCTTTCTACTCGTTTCCGGGCATCGAGTTCTTTGCCTTGGATTGGGATGTGGTAAACTGGTGGATCAACACTCATCCAGATAGCCATCAGCCACGCAATGTATTGACTATCAAGTTTCTGCTTCGGCCTGTGGAGATTGAGGCGAGCTTCGAAGGGGAGATGGAGATTTATGGAAAGAGAATGCTTGTGAATGGGGTTGTTAAAGAGAATCTGGGCGGAAAGACACAGATAATCACCACTTGCAACTCAGAAGGGGAGCGTGTAGAAGCTCTTGAGAAGTATTTCCAGATATCTCTCTCCGATGAGGAAAAGGGCGGTATTCGCGGCTATGTGTCAGAGCTCAGAGGCACTATACCATAAATAAGACAAAAGTATTCCGTCAGGTCCAAAGATAAACACCATCAAGTCTTGAGAAAGTCCCACAGAGCACCTTCACCTCTCACTTCAACCAACTCACTCCCATCATCTCCAACAGCCATACTCCACAACTCTTGGCCATGTCTCATCAAAAGTTCATAGCCACCCTGCGGACTTGGACGAAGTGTAAAATACTCATGCGACTGATGCTTATCGACTCGGGCGATGAACTTCTTCCTCTCGTTGTGGCCGATAATAGTCCCAGAAACACAGTTTCGGAAGCCCAGCCATCTATCTCGTTCGATACACTCCCAGTGGAAGCCTCCTCTCGGGTTGAAGCCCTCACAAAGTCGGAGGTCGCCGTTGACGATTGTGATGACTTTGCCTGAGTCGCGATGGCGAATGATGAAGATGGCTCCGGGGTAGGGAACGGATTCAGTGTAATCTCTGCAGGTTTCGGTTGTCGTTGTGTGTGTAGGCGTGCCTTGGCCATCGACAGTGGAAGCCATGGACATGGTATCAATGAGATCCATTTCCTTACTCATGCTGATGATATTTTACTGTAGATAATTGTGATTGAGTTGCAGTGTTGAGGTAGTGAGATTGAATGCATGTCCACGTAATGCGTCAGGCAGCGCTGCAAGAGAGCAACCAACCACTGAGATTGCTGCATCTTAGCAGCCCTTCCATGCCCCCTCAGCCGCTTCAACACCTGACAGTGAAGCGCTGGAGCAAGCAGTCCTATACAACGGCGAACATAGATCAGAAAATTACGGCCAGTGGCAATATATATGTATAAAACATTTACTAGTTAACACAGGTTTCTAGGAACAAAGAGCTTCCAGGTTTGCCCCTGGTACCTGAGCAATGCCGTAGGGTAATTAGTCAGACTTGCCCCAGACGGAGATGATCGACGTTCGCTCGGCAGCTGGCGAGCGACGACCACCTGCGTCTTGACTTGTAAGTCATGGAGATATGTATGTATTGTAGATGTAAACAATATCTATTCATGTCGCGCTGCTGCGTTTGGCACCGTATCTTACGGAACTATTCCATGGTCTCATCAATGACCATGCATGCCCTTGACGGCCTGATACTCGCGGACAAGGCCCAACACCAAACCAATGCCAGTAACCAACCGCGCCGTTAGACAAACCGAGACACCAAAGTCCTAACAAACTCAAATCATCAATATCAGGGCAAGAATAGGGTGTGAGACAAAGACCCTGCATCAGTACAACCAACCCCCAACCCAGCCACGACAGCATCTCTCGAAACACATACCCTGGACGGTCCAAGGTCACAAGATTGAGCAATCAGTCATTTCTGCGCAGCCTTAAACGCCCAAGACACAAAAACTAACTCGCGCCAAGCTACGCGTGACCTCAATCACAAACGCCGTTTTAACCGCCCGCGTCGCATGGCAACTGCCCCCCCTCCCCTGTCATTATCGTGTCATTCTGATCTCTCGGGCTTCACAAAACCGTTATGCTATAAGTCAGTTACCCTCCCATCGCATCCGCAAAAAGAGGGCGCCACAGTAGAACTCGTAACACGTTCTAGACCAACGGAGCAGAGCCTACGAAGCCAAGAACTGTGGCTCAGGGCACGAGGACACGCAACCCATGGATCCAAAGGGTCTAGAACGTCGCTGTGCTGATCTTGGGTATTCCCGACGAGTTCCCACCCTCTTGAGAACCAATCTACCCAATAGGACTGCATGGCTGTGCGAAGGTTTCCTGTGCCACTGCGCTTCGCTATTGGTTCTACGACACGGCGCAACGGAGAAGGGCGATTGAGAGACCCCGAAGTAGAGAATGGCATAGTGCACGCTGGGGTACAGTATCGTCGTATTGATGGACATGTTCTCGAATTAGCCAGGAACGCTCGGAGCCCGGCAGGAGCGGAAAAGGGCTTAATTGAAGCAACGTTGTATGAATGCCGGGAGATCGATAACGGTCTTTTCCGGGGGGCGTAGTATTGAGTCTATGGACTGGCCAGAACACAACACTTTACGTCAATGACCAGACATGAATAGCAGCATGGTCTAGAAACGCTGAGGCTACAGTAAAAGCGCCGATTCAAATGTCTTTGTTGACCTGCCCTCTGCGACTCTGCCCTGAAAATCAATAAAGCCAAGCCCTGCCTGATCCGCATCGGCATGCCCGAGCTCCATCATGATCTGATAGAAAAGAGTCAAATGGAATAACTGATAAAATACATGACCAAGTGCCTGAGGGTTTATCACGCGGAAACACTCGCTTACTCAAAACATCGAGGTTTTCCGTGAGTACAGTACCCGGGATGCAATCTGGTCGAAAGCAATCAGCTGCATAGTGCTCAGTTACAATGCATCAAGCACAGGCACCCATTGCCGCATCAAGGAACCGAACCCAGACCACGGACGTTTTTCTAGAGTCAGGCCGAAACAGATCAGTCACATTGGCCGAGCTTCCAGCCCAGAACCCGAGCATGTAAAACAAAGGCCCAGATCTAGAGCCTCCCTCGTGTGATAAGCAAGACCAGACGTACCCTTTCAAAAGGACCCTTAATTTGTGAGGACAAAAAAAGGGATTCACCGCTCCATAATTCTTCAGCCCTGGGATCACCGGGGCCTGTGGCTTGAAAGTCCATTTTGAGATCCAAGCTCTGCAAGATGGCGTATTCTGGAATACGGTTCCATCGTCTCACTTGAGTGCCATGCAATTTCCCGCAGAAGACCGCCAAGACGAATTCTAGCCCGCATGGGACTGCAGTCCTGCAGTCCTGCAATGCAACACCGTCTTGCTCTTGTCAGCGCTTGCTGGGGTTTGAAGGGATAGAAGAGAAAGGGCTTCGTCAGAAGATCGTGGCTGTGACAGGTTTACTGCTTAGAATGGTTTGGCTGGGATGGCTTTGTAATTTAATGATATGCAAAACACACGTTGCTCAGCATTGGATGGATGTCCAAGCGGGTCGATCATTCATCAAACTTCAGCTTTCAGGGACCTTTTGGGGCCCACCCCCAGTTCAAAACGCCAGTGACAAAGGTCAAGAATAAGGCGACCCTGCCAAGCCAGTGTTCTAGACTCTTGAGTCTAACAGTCTGACTCTGACTTTAAAATGGTGAGCGGCATTATTTCCTCGTTTTTGACGGAAATAGCAATTCAAGCGGAAACAACAACGAAAGAAGAAAAAAGGACCATCAGTCAGCAGTAACCTCAAGACCAGTGCCAGAGACAGTTAGTGATTTTAGACATGACACGGCTTGCCAAGCAATTCGTGATCGTCTGACGAAGAAGACACTGATCCGTCGCATCCGTCGGGGAGCTTAATTACAGCGCCATGCATCGGGCTCCATGGGAGATGGGAGGAGTTAGAATGCCGCGGCATCGCAACGCAACGCAGCGCATGCATCGGATGCTATTATCGCATCAGATAAAACAGACACGCGTAAGGTTCTGTCCTACTCTAGTATAGGCAAAATGAGAAAACGGAGCAGAGGGGAAAGGGCGTGGGGTGGGAATTAAGAAATGGGTCATCCATATCCCCGATTTAGAGAATCTCCGTCTCGATCCCCTTGCAGCATTGATGAGGCGAGGCTACTCTGTATGTATGCACATTTCCATTCCTCCATCTTCAATCTGCGAGATCGAGAATTGTCTTTGAATATGGATATGTATGTCGATGTGGGAAAAAGCAAGCATCTCGATATCTGTGCAAAGAGGCCTGGCCATTGGTTCCCAGGAGCAGCTCCGAACGGGAGGACTCTCTGGCTGTTTAGAACGAAAACGGACGCCCATCGAAGGTTTGGTAGAGCATCTCGGCCGGTGGCGTCGCCATCTCGATGTGGCTCCATCACTTGATGAGGGCGAGTTTTTAGAGCGTGTTCCAGATCGATCTACAACAAAGGGTCTTGCCTAGCTCCCAGGAACATTTCCCATCTACAGTTCTATACTAACTAAGCAACACGCTGAGGGAGTTTCCATTCGATGATATTACGACTAACTCAGAGGGGGGGTTTGTTGTGTGTCGCGCCATGCCATGTCATGGGCAACTGGTAATCTAATCATGGAATCGTGGGTGGCACGGCCATGGGCATTTGCTCAAAACCACCACTGAATGCTGGCCGTTTTGTGTCCGGATGATGTGGATGTCTCTATCTATCTCAAACTCGAGACTGACCCATCAACCCAGTCTTGCCAGTTTAAAACGGTTTGTTCAAAGGGCTGAACGGAGCGACGCCACTCGTATTGGTGATCGATCGGGATGAGACAAGTGCAGTCAGTGTGTCTTGATCTACGACTCGACTCGACTCGACTCGACTCGACTCAACTAGTCTACTTGAAACACATCTCGATGATTAATTCCTCTGTAACGAAGATCAAACAGATTCTCAACCCACACCTGAGCTGACTTGGCTGATAATCTTTCGATGAATCAATCAAGATCGCCCCTACCTACGTACGTTAGTCTAAAACCCCACATATTCATCTTCCCTTCCAACTTCTCATCGGGACCATCGAAAGGCAAAAATAAAAAAATGATAGACGATCGCGGGTTCTGATAAGCGTTCCCGCCCAAGCCCAGTCCCGGCAATCCGACGATCAATCAACTACGTCTCCAGTTTCACTCGCTGATCCGATGAGTATGTAAGTCTGGTTCTGGGCATCGAGAGGGTTTCGATCGTACGTGGGTGCTGCGTAACTGTCGACGTCAGTTTTGCGATAAGCGCTTCCTTTGTGTCATGTTTCGAGGTATGAATTACGCGCGTGCTATGGACATTGCATCATTCAGACGGTTATTGACAGCTCCATCAAACACCACAAGTGCGTTCTCGATGTTCGGAACTGCTGGCTAGGCGACGATAATTTACTGCGATCGGGAATAAGTCAGACCCTGTCACCAATTTCGCTTTTAGGGATCACGATGAGATGCAGGGTATTACCATCGTCAACGGGGTCATGCAGACAGCCTAGACAAGAACAAGGTCGACGGAGACGCTCCGGTGCTTGTGAAGGAAGCTCGCGATGTCGATTGCATGCTAGAGTACGATGCCCATGGCAGTCGGATTCATGGGGGTGCTTTTTTGCCTGTCTCGAGTGCCGTGCCGGATGTGACTGGCACGACTCGGCCGGGTGTGATAGCGTGAACGTGAATGCTGTTGACACTCTGTTTCAAGGTCTTGGCAAAGCACGTTGCAACTTTGAGGACCAATCCAATGAAGCCGTAACGGACGACATCGAGATTGCTCAGGGCCGTTGCAATGTGTCCATGCAATGCCATGTCTTTCTTTTTCATGCTCAACAAAAAGGCATACTTGTACATATCAGCAGAGTGACAGCTCCAGAGCCAGTCGTCTGTCGTTATTCCCGTCCAGAATATTCAGATATCTCGTTAGAATGCTCTGGACTCTACCCACATCCCGTGAACCGAATCGACGACATATCGTCATTGAAACGGAATCATCTCCGACTAGTGGGATCTGGGTCATGGGACAGGAGAAACAGAACAAGACAGTAAAAAACCGAAGCTTCATGTCCTTCGATCCTGTTCTAATGGCCCCGACCAAGGTTCTCGTCTCTGTGCCCTGAAGATCGGAAATTGGCTGTGTCATCAAAGGAGTGGCCGATGGCGCTAGGACTGTTTTGAAGGCTGACTCCAAACGCCGGAACGGAATGCCCTGCCAAGATCTCCGTTCGCCAACTCCGTTTACCGCTTACTGTGATATCTCTTTAGCCATCCTCTTCACCTCGCTCAGTTGCGTTCAACAACACGGCTTCGCAAGGCCCCTTGTGAGTCACGGCAAGGGCCCTGTAAAGAACCCAAATGGCGGGAAGATGCACCCGAAATAGCAATTCATCCCAACACGATCCACAGACAAGAGACAGCAAAGAAGAAGAAGAAGCGGTCATGAACATCATGAAACTCAACTCTACAGCATTGAATTTTTTGCAGCGGACTTTTCACTGTCAAGCCCAACACGCCAATTTACACATTTCAACAATGCTCTATTTCTGGGTACACTAAACGCTAGCCCAGAGCCCAATCCAACGGTTCAGGCTCATCATGCAAGGACAGGGTTCTCGCTCTCGCTCTCGGTCAGAGTCAGCCCTCAAAAAGAATTATTAGGGGTCCATCATCTCTTCTGTCTGTATGGAGTATCATCCTTTCAAGCTCAACCTCAAAATACTGGAGCCCGCCGTAAGACCAGCGTTGCAGCCCTGAGTACTGAACGACCCGAATCCCCGGGTACGCGGTGTGCTGCGCTGTATCCGCACATCGCATTCTGCTCATCTTCCTCCCTGTGGATATTGGATCATCCCGGTGCTTAGATCGTGGTGGTGCCCGTAGTCGCGGGCGGCTCTGTTGTTCTGTTCTGTGATGCCGGGCTGTCTACGTTGCACCAGGATTGAGGCTTGTAAGTGACAGCCATCCAATAGCGCCTTTCCATACGAGGACAAAACTTTGCAAATTACAATCCTGTCACAATGGAAGCTTGGCGGGCGCCCAATAGCGACTCTTTCATGTGTTAAGAAACAATAATACCGATTGTTTCTCTCAAAGTTATTCATGCGTTGACCGCGCATGGAGAAAAGAATCAAACTCTCTCATCGGATCCCGCGATATGCGTGAAACCCGCCCTAGGATTCAAGACTCCATCCAAAGGTCCGCCCTTCATATAATGTTGGTCGCACAACAAGGGTTGATTACTGCATCGCATCTACCTATTGCAATGTACATGCCGCCCGACGCGAACGCCATTGTTCAAATGTGACAGATGCCATGGATGCTTATTGTATCAATTGCGCGGCCTTTCGGCGCAGTTCAAGTGCCGCCATCCATTATCAATCACCATGGCATGGCATGCCGTACAAGCCGAAAAGCCCGCCGTCACTTCGACATTCAGTTGAGACAAGAGGTAGCAGGCACCCGCGGAAGACGGGCGCACACAGTCAGCTCGATTTGTCCTTGTCCTTTTTTACTACCTAATTGATCCCTGTGGCTTCGTGCCCTTGCTGGGCTGAGCTGGCCGATCCGGGGTTATTTTAACGGTGAACTCAATTTCATGAGGCGGACCATGTTGAATTGTCGTACTACTGTCTGTCTACCGTACATTTGAGTCATCTTGCCAGAGCAACACTGGACAACTCATCTTGGTCCAAGCTGTAGAAGGTGAAAAGCTAGACTGATACTCCGTACATCCAGCACAGGCACAGGGTCTTTTTGCACAGACTTTTAGGCCCTGAAGCTAGAAGCTTCATAAACATGAGACTCTACAATCTAATTTGCAGGAAGCTCCCACTGTACAAGGAAGACCCCGTTACGGGAGCCCGGAGCAACGATTGACAACAAGACATCTGATGCAACAAGCTTTATCTTCATTTGCATTTTTGTTCCTTTTTCGTGCCCGGGTTAAACAAGGCGGTGGTAGATACGTAGATTGCTGCCAAAAAGAAAACAATGCATGAATATGTTGCGCTGTACCTTTTTGTCTCTGAAGCTGTGCCGCGTTGTCGTCGTAAGCAGTTTTGAGCTGGTTCCTCCCGTGCCGTGAGAATATTACCTACAGTTCTGTGAGAGGTACAGCACATACAGGCATATCCGAGACATCAGCCAGCCTCACAACGGGGATGAATTTGGGCGTGAGGTTAAATCTCGGGCGCTGCAGGGAATGGTAAGAGGATAAATTCTGGACGGTTCCGTAGCTACAGTCGGTTAATCAATTAGACACAGCGTGATGCCTCACCAACATGACCCGACCCGCCAGGTCAATCACAAGCCAAAACAAAAAAGTATCGAGATTTTTGGTGGTGATCCGTAAGCCCCGATAGATCGCATAAGCCCAACACAAAAGAAAACGGAGCATCTCAGGAAATTCGACAGGGGTAAAGGTAAACTAAACGGACAAGATGGAGATGGGCGGGTTTCGCCTGGTCAGGACCCAAGACCTGACGTTGCATCGGCCAGGCCTGTTCTGGTATTGGGTTCGAGCCAAGCCACGCCCCTCCTCTCACTCCCCTGCCTCCTCCGTTTTTGACTCTGGGCCTGAACTGAACCTGAGCTTGGCTCCGTCGAACAGTGATTGAACGCCAAGTTTCAAGCCAAGGCTCAACAGCTCGAGAGTTGGTGGTTGCTGAGACAATTATCCCTCACCGAGAGCAGTGCTAGATAACAGCTCAGCTATGTCTGATGGTGGCATCTGCCGCAGTTGCAAAGTATGTATGTATCTTTTTCCAGGACTCAAATTGAATCGAATTGAATGCTGGTGCCTTGAAGAGGGGCGTGTGCTTGGACTTGGATGCTCCGTTTTGCTCGTCTTGGGCTTGGCACAATGTCTTGCTGCTGTTTCTCTTCGACCCGCTGCCGATCTTTACTCCGCGACACTCCGTCTTGCAAGACACCTCCATGGATGAGCAGTTAAATCGTCGATCCGCAGCAGCAGCATCAACAGCTAAAGGAGACCAACCAAGGGGGGAAACCTACGTAGCCCCCAAGAACCACATACTGAGACTGCCCTGTTTTTCTTCTGGGTGCGTGTGTGTGCTGCGTCCAATTGCTAGCAGGTTCAAGAAAAAGAATAAAGCCATTTTGATAAAAAGGCCTGCTCACCCCCCAGACAAGCGCCTTGGATCCAGAACCTCCATCCCTTTTATGAAACGAATTTCACGATACGACTAGACTCGACACGACTCTATACGATACAATACAATAGCCTAATACATTCTAGGCTCTCTCAGTGATAGCGATTGATTGATTGATTGATTGTACGGATACACTCAAATAAACACACAAGGGGCCCCCTTCTACTCGTCCGTCCCAGCTGCAATCGACCGGACTAAGCCTCAGCCACCTGTGCTACAGTTCCAAACTGTACCGTCCGCCCGTACCGTACCGTATCTGTCTCCGTCTGTCGTCTACGTACACGACGTAGCGTGCGTAGCGTAACCCTCCCTGGTCCCCAGTGCCCAGTCCCGTTCAGGCTCAGACAGGTCAAGACAAAACACAAGATACACCCCCCTCCCCCGGACGGGCCTGTTTTCAAGGCTCCAGAGTTCAAGAGACTAGGCCCCTGGTCGGTCTTCAATCCTTCTTAACCAGCACAGTCCCCCTTGAGGGCGAAGCATTCAAGCAAGAGCGAGCACAAAGCAGCATAGCAATTACATTACCAAGGCGCCAGCACATCCCCATCCACTTGAAACAAACAGAAAAAAAGGGCTTTAGCTTCTTTTTCTTCCTCTTATTCCTTGCCCTGACCCTTGCGGTACATCACCCATCACCTCACCTCAGAATTTATCTATATTATAACCCGCCCTGTCTGCCCTCACCAACCTCGTCTCCATCATCATGTCTGCCAGACCTTCAAGTCACCACTTTGGTTCAACAAGCTCAACATCATCAACACCTTCTTCAGGCTCCGACTCAGACTCTTCCAGCTCAGGACACAGATACAGCATGGACTCAATCGCCCTCCCCATCGCCTCTGTCGAGGTTCTTCGCTGCATGCGATGCGCTCGCTCAGTTGAGGCTACTTCCACCGACGACGTCAGCACCATGGGAATGGTTCGCATCGCACACAACCTCTACTACTGCGAACGCTGTGCAAAGATGGTCGGCTACAAATAAATGAATCAACCAACACACAACAATTAAAGGCCTGAACACGAGTAACACGCAACTACTTTCAGCTTTTTTTCCCTTTCTTGGTGGAGGGAAACAAATCACATTGCGACATGGACGGTTAATCCCCAAAGCATTCAATGATTCTTCCAGCCAGCCAACACACAACAACCACCTTTTCGGCGCAAAGGAAATATGATATCCGGCTCTTAACCCCCCAGTGTGCCGCATGAATACATCCCCCTCCCGCCATTAGGGTCAGCCAGCCATTTCTTGCATTTGGCATACCCAATCAACACCAAGAGCAAAGCCATATATCGCCATAAGAGCATAGTGGATCATCTACATCAACATGCGAGGACGACCTAAATTGGCACCCTCTTAACAACAACCGAAGCAAAACCCAACGATACCGTCAAACCCCATCCTTTCAGCACCTGCAAATCTCAGGGACCAATTCCCATCTTTTTGAGGTTCAGGGCATTCGAGTGATTGGGTGCGGCATGTCCGGCATCAATGTATGGGTACCCCGTCAGCTTCCGGATCAGCACTTGTCAGGCTCGGCTCAGCTCAGCCCAGCCCAGCCCAGCCTGCGAGTGATCAACCCCTCCAAAAGAGAAAGACTGCATTCACTGCCTCATGCGTTATGGATACCACTGAGGCGCTGTCTTCTCAATTTTCATGACCACCATTTTGTGTATTTGACGACGACCTTCATGTATGGAGTTTTCTTTGGGATAGGATATACAACATTTGTCACACTATCGGTTTTCTTCTTCTTCTTCTTGTATACCCACGGATACCCTGTTTATTGCCACCGGGCGCTTTCGGATATTTTTGGGGTTATTTGAATGCTTTACTTGTTCGATTCTCTTCATCGTGGTAGATACACGCAAGACCACGGCCTGGTGCCTGGCATGGCTTGAGCCTCATGGGCAGGCTATTTTATCTATATACTTGCTTAAACAATTTATCAAAAATTACCATATCATATCATATCTCATCATATCATTGTGTCTCGTGCATTGTGCTCTCACACCAATCTCATCTGTGTCTTGCATGTTGGTCATTGTAGTTAGTTGGTGGTCATTGACGCCTGACCTGACCTCTGACAGTCCCAGTGCCTATCTAACTACAGGCTACAGCAGCAGCCCTCGGCGCTACGTGCCGTCTCTCACATTGCTAGCACGTATTTACATCCGACCAGGGTCGGAAACACTGCCATTGGCTATTTCGTTCCCAAACGGTGATTGCCATTTTTACCCTCCCCCTCTCAGAACCAATCAGAGACTGTCCAAGAGGAATTTCAACTCCAGACTCGATGTTGGCTGCCGAAAGGTCACATACCAGCCGCTGACGTCTTGGCTCCCCAACTTCTCCGTAATCATTTCTCTTTGATGCAGCCCAGAGAGAGAGCTGCGTTCTCATGATCTGAGTCTGAGTCTGGCTTCATCGATAGGAATGAGAGCGGAGTTGGGAATGGAGACATGGCGGTCTCGCTTCGACTCATTTCACTTTAATCTGAGACTCTGAGACCTGTCCTTTTCCTTTTTCGCCTCCCCCTTTCTACTCTTCTCCGCCTGTCACTCCAGGTTTTATGCCGGCTTTGGCAATTCTCCTCGGTTAGGGTTTTTAACAGAGCCCAGAGCAACTCCACTATTTCGGTTTGCCTGCTTATTTCTGCAGATTTAGTGGAGTCATCAAGTTCCATTCAATATCTTGCACCCGTACCCGCAGCTGCAGCTGCATTTCCCCCCCCCTACCTCTACTTCCCGCCTCGTTCTCTTTTGAGGCTATTCCCACTGTCCCACTCGTCGTGGTCTAGAGCCGTCTCGGAGATGCGTCGAGATTACGACGACGTGACATGACATGGATATGAGTGCCCTGAGAACAAGGCCAAGACCAATCGATCCAATAGTGCAGTGGTGCCGCACTCACATGCAGATTGGCTTGCGATCATTGCATAAACTCTATGTAATATCTACCTATACCCGTGTCACGATGACACTTGAAACTCAATCAGTTTAGTCACACTTGCACTTGTGCTCGCCCTTACAAACCGTAGCCGGAGCTTTCAGCTGTCGACTGCACAGCTTAGGTTTTGCCCAGCCAACCATCAAAAAGTCAATGTCAGTTCGCGTGCGGCACCTCAGATGCAAACAGTGGAATCTTGAGTGCCGTTGACTATCCGCAAAAGGTACCAAGATAGCTCATAGCCTAACTGCAAGTTACCCAGCACCGTTGTCACGCTTCTGCAAGCCTTGCAAGCCAAGAGCTTAACTGTTATAGGCATTTCAGAACATCCCAGCCACACGACGGATGTGATCTAAAAAAGCACATAACCATGGAGGAGCTAATGTATGACTTGTCCTCCTGCCGCACAACGCGCCAGTAGCAGATTGAGAGGAACATCAACAGACAGAGCTTTTGACTTTGGGGCGGCAGTTGAGGGGATGCGTGCGTCTACAAAAGTGCTACGGTAGTCGACTGGAGTGGACTGGAATGTAACATTGGCTTGTGTAGCTGCATCTGCCGTTATCCTTCAAATAGAGGAGATGCAGGTCTAGACTCCTCAAGACTCCGTTTAAGAGCAGCCCGACTCCCCGCTCGCTCGCCATCCTCGGCTCCGTCAAAGGCAGCAGCGAAAAATAAAGGAAATAAGATGGCGGCGGTGGCTTGACGGGTTCAAATGCCGGAAGATTAACAGTCCGAGACTACGAATTGCTCGAAATGGCCATTTCTTGATTCCTCTGCGATTCAGGACCTCGCAGCTGCACTAACTATTATCTTACAGGTCCAAGATAGGCACCGCACCTTTTCAAAGTCCCCGTGCCAAGCTTTATTTCCTGCTCGTGTGCCTTGCGTTTCCTTGCTCAACTTGCAGTCCAGGGTTTCAGTCCCGTTCTTGACCAAGCTCGAAATAGCACCTCATAGGCGCGCAGGGGTTGCAGTGAAGCCAGGGTAGGTAGGTATTTTACGACATACAGAAATGGAAATGGAAGTGAGAAAAACATGTTCCAGCCTGCTGGTCTATCTAGGTATCGTATCGCCCGCTCCAAAAGCTGACATGCAGCAATTATGAGGCTGTCATGTCACTGACTTCTTCCTTTTCTTGGCATGAGACGTGAGACAAAGAATGAACCCTTTGTCTTGCCTTGCGTTGGATCAAGTGGTGGAGTCGGGGAGTAGAATGCACTGAATGTCACTTTGTCTTAGAAGATAGTAGCAATACTCAGAGACAATTGATCATTCTGACAAGGCTACAAGACAATCAACGTCGGAGTTCTTCTCATCCGTGATAGATAGTGAGACCCAACTCACCGGTCTAGATCCGAAGCCCCCCCCCGAACTTCATTCAAGGCGTTCGCTCGGCATGTCGTCCGTTTAAAGCAAAAGCGGCATCGACGGATCTGAAGGTTATAGCAACAAACATCCCGAGGCCGATCCGTCCGAAGGAAATAACACTTTTGGTGATTCCGCACGGAGTAGACTCTGAGCAGTTCCGTCTTAATGCCGATTTAACCGTCCAATTATCGAACCACCATGCACAGCAACGTCGCGATGTTATCACCGTCCTCAATTCTCAGTCTTCCCATGCAGCAAATGAGCGCTTTTTTCTTTGTCTTTCCTTAACCCGTCTTACACACCCCCGACAGGTCCATACACATTCACCCGTCTAACCAGAAAACGGTTGCGCCCGTGAGCTATGCAGCCAGATGTCATAGGGTCCCCGCGCGCCAACTCCAACGCGAGTTAGCTTCACCTCGAGTGCCGCAAGGGATGACGTTTTCTCATGCGTCAAGGGTTTTCTCTGATCCCTTTATTAACAAGGTCAGAGCGGTGACAGGAGCCACACCGAAATAACATAAAAAAAGAACCCAGAGAAGAGTGCTTAAACCATGGCCCTGAATGTTGGAAGGGGAGAATAAAAAAAAGAAATGGACCTCATGGGGTTTTCTGGTGGAGAACTAAACACACGGGAGATCATCACAAAAGATCAGATATTCTCCATTTGAGGCTCAAGACCCCCGAGATCCCAAACTCAAAAATAGCAAAAACAAACACGTATTTAGAAACAGAACAACAAGAACATGGATTAAAGGGGTTCTTTCTCCCTTCCGTGCAATTCCCTTGCGCAGACACGTACACACCATCAAAACATGCATCTTCCCGCAGAGACCCTGCGAATGCCCTCACTCCAAAATGACCCACCCCCCTTTCGTCATCCCGTCCTCTGACCTCATCGTGCAGGCCACCACGACACCGACGTTACGTTATCGAGCAGACCCAAAAACAGGGCGGTCTATAAAAAACAACACTGACATGGGTGCGTGACGTCGCCTGTGAGGGAAAAAACTGCTAAACGGCTTGCTTTTGCGGTATTTGGCATGGGTTCTTTTGGCGAAACGGTCACCAAGCGGGAATAGACTAAGGTGTGTGAGGATGATGTACATGAAGGTCAGAAAACCCTTACGATGAGCGAAACGGTGAGGTTGTGGTGTACATGTAACTCGACTTATTTTGAGCATTATAGGGCTGTTGTGTGCACCGGCGGTCAACGGGGCGAAGCTTCTATGCTGCTTCTAAGAATATTCGATTTCTGATTGCCAAGATTGTCTTCTCGAGCACGTACCCAGGTGTTTTCATGCATGCTCACACCAAGGCTATTCCAACGCCTTACTCCCAGTTCCTACAGCCCATAATTACAAACTCAGACATGCAAACGTCTCATATGCGAACATCATGTTTCCGTAAACCAACGACCGTAAAGCAATCAGCCCTCCATTTTAACATCCGTCTCCCTTCCGAGATTCTTCAGCAGGAAACTGCGCTTGAAGTACTCGTTGGGGTGGACAATGGTCTCGAGCTGTTGTTGTGTCATGACACCCTCATCCTTGGCCTTCTTGATCTCTTGCTTGTGCAGATGCTCAAATACACTGTGATCGCAATTAGTACATAGGCTGTTCGAGGAATGAGCATAGACTTACCGATTGCACGCCATGTGGAACTTTTGCTTATCCTTATCCTCTTTAACGCCCTGAACAACAGAGCGATCATTAACACCCATAGCTTGAACAAGTGCTGAGAGGTTCTCCATGTTGAAATGCCGATATGGGCATCCGTGGGCCTCACCAGGGCCAGGAGGATGCTCGGTGAGGATCTTCTGACAACTGAATGGACTGTAACCACCACCTCTTCGGTTGGAATCACCACCGACATCACCATAAACGTGACGAATATTATATCGGTACTCCTTGTTGAACTTATCATCTGTGATCTTGTGGAAGCTCTTTCTCCAGAACACAAGACACTCCTCCAGGTTGAGGCCAATCCCCTTGAGAAAGAGAGAGTACTGTAGTCGACCATAGTGTTTGAGATGAGCGTCTCGGCGTAGTGAGCGGTGCAGGTGAGACATGCAGGCTGGGAAGTGTTGTGATAAGTTGTCGATGTTGGCAGCGCTGATCTCGGCGCCGGGCACAGCGGCGGTGCTGGACATGTAGGATGCGTCGGGGGTGATGAAGTTCTTGGAAAGATGGTTGAGGATTGGTGTGAGCCGGTCGTCCTCGTCAAGTCGAGGAAGAGCACGGGCAGTCAACTACGCGCTGTCAGTTCAGATCTTGGCAACAGGTTTTGAGTTGCTGTACCTCAAGTTGTCGCTCCAGTCGCGAGCTGAACTCCGAAACCACCATACCAGCCTGTTCTCGGCCCGGTACAAACGCCTTTCCGGCCTTCAAAAACACTCTTCGGCTCTCAATTAGCTCGGGAACCCGTTCCCAGTCTACCTTGAACCATGTATCATCGTCATTCTCGCTCTTTCGGTTGCTAGCAAAGGCAGCCAGCTCCGCAGCATACTCCCTCCTATCCTCATCTGTTACGTCTTCACACCAGTCTAGGCCAAGAGTCTTGACAAAGGCAGATCGCTCGGCGAGATCGTCATCATTGAGTCGCAGGCGGAAAAGCATCGTCTCGACACGTGTGAAGCGACGGCGCAGATCTTCAGTAGACGAGAACGCAAGTCGGAGGATGAAATGGCTGTAGTGGTCTTTTTGGCGTTGCTCAAAGATCTTCTTGGAGCCTGAGCTGTTGGCCTCGAGGTGGAGGTGCTTCTTGAGGATGGGCTTCATGTGTGTTGCAGTCTCGGCAGGAGTCTTGTTGCGGAACGAGCATGCTTCGAGTTCAGCGAGAACTACCGAGTATTAGATACGCCCACTGTCACAATTTTCCGTAGCCTACCTCGAAGTCTGTCGATGGCCCATTGCTCAAACTGCTCGAGGGTGATATCAGCAGTGGGAGGATCTGTGTAAAAGTTGAGACGATGGGGATAGTCGAGATCTTTGTATGTAGGCGCCGCGAATTGCTTCTTGCGATGGTCAACGACATTTCGCCTCTTGGGATCAATTCGGTTAAAGTCTTGCCGCAACATGATTTCGCCGTCTGTTGAATGTCTGTATCGATGGAGTGGGAATTGGACAAGGAGTGGAATTGGTTAGCAAAAGGCATAGAGAGGGAGACGCGACTTTACGCGTCTGGCGTCGCGGGGTGGAGAGGGCAATTAAGAGCCAGCAGCCCAATCAGAAGCGCGCGAGGTGTTCCCCAGGTGATTTTGGCGCACAAGCCCACGATTTACTTGGCTCCATCAATCAAACAATGCAATTAACTAACAAAGAAGGTTTTGTTCTTAAACCCAAGCGTTCAAACATTCAATTAATATCTACAATAATCAAGTCATTTAAATTATATTTAGCGCGAAAACGGAAACGATTTTGTACCTGAATGACCAGATCACCATGCTCTTCAAGAGGTAGTCGATGACCTTAGTTGGAGCTACCTATTGTTCCAATTCCCCATCATTCACAAGTAAAGTATCATGCTTATCAACAACACATATTGCATCATACGCCCTGCACGTAGCTTGAGCCATGCCGGTTCAGCTCAGAAGAAGGCCTGGATCATCGGCACCCAAGACCTGTTTCTCTACAACTCAATTCAGAGTCCCCTCCACAGTGTGGACGAGCCTCAACCAACCATTGTGTATTAGCGACTCATCCTTTCAGGTTGCTATTGAGAACATTTCAGGCCCAGCTCTTCTATCCAAGCTGCCCCCTGAGGTTGTTACCATGATCTTCGACCAAGCGTCACAGGTGGACAAGATCATGTTAGCGATGACCTGCAAAAGTTTACTCGCCACTTTGCGACTGTGCGGCCTTTCTGTACCTCTCCGTGAATCGCACATGGCCACTTGGAATAGACCAGACTCTTCAACCTCTGTAGTTTTATGTTCATGTTTGAACATGGGCGACTTACTCCGAAGGTTTCGGCCAAGGGACGCCCGTGGTCGACCAAGTAGGGCATGGAGTTGGTGCCTGGACTGCTGTAGGTATCTCCCGACGAGACGAGGATGGTGGCAACGTCGAATGAGAAACGAGCCTGCTGTGGTATCTCGAGATGGACGGGAGCCTAGTATTGATTGGTTCAGTCGCGGAGTCAAACAGCAGTGCCCTATTTGTTACCTGAAAGACGTCCAATAGTTCCAATACTTAAGTTAAAAGATGGAGGTGATATCGACAAGAATATACTTTTGGTGGGCATTTCTTATGACCATTTAACTTTCATTTTTGAGAAAATAAACGAACATAAACCTCCGAAATAGAAGTTACGTTCAAAGTTCTCAAGCTTATGCATTGCTAATACAAACACTACAACTGAAGCAGCCCAATTCTCAGTTACAAGATACAACACCATATCTAAGTAGATAATAGGTCTCGAAATAATAGGTCAATTACCGCTACTGCGCATTGAAATGGTGTTAAACAGACTCATGGGCCTCGAGTAATTAGGGAACATAGTTGTGATGAACGCGAAGAAACAAGCGATGCCATCATATTCCTCTTGCCTCAGTGGATGTCCGGTGATTAACTTTCACAGAGACGTAAAAGCTTCCAAACACCATTATGCGCTCGTTTCTAAACTTTTAGAGAGTCCACTCAGTCCTTGACCTGACTTTTCATCCTGTATAATTACCAATCCCCCCTTCCCTTAACAGACCTCAGAACACAGCGGGTGCATTTTTGGTATATTCTTTGTACTGCACGGATTTGTATTGAGTTATGCGTTGCACGGAAGTATAGATCGGTTCCTTTTTGTTTTGCTGCTGGTTGATGAGCTTTGGGAGCAGGTACTGCAATAAGCATGCAGCATTTTGCTGCATAATTCTAAGTGCAGTCTTATAACATGTACCTCTGTGTAGTGACGTATATCGCCATCGCGAGGCTTAGATCTACCTGTTGTCAACTATCCATGCCTACTAAGATTGAGCTTTGTTAGAACTGTCTAGTAGATGCTTGTTGACGTAGGTAGATATCTTAGCTTGATGCAAAACATGCTGCTCTTCAGGCCTCCACTGACAAAGAACCCTTTGTCTATCGATCTGTCTCCGTAATCAGTTAGCTAGAGGCAGTGATTGCCAGATCTAGACCACTCGACCGAGGGCTGAGGTGGGTGTCGGTCCCTGATGAATGCGACAGGAGGGAGCAACGGCTGCTAGAGCGCCTCTCGCTCCCGAAGAAGTGGAGACAGCCGGGCGCTTATGGGGCACGTACATTTACAGGGGCGGGCGGTAGGTGGCTTTCATTTCTGTAGGGCTGAAGAAGAGATGGAAACCAACAAATGTTACTAGAATGTCAAAAGACTAACATGATTTACCACGATGGCAATAAATTTATCTTATATGAATGAAGGAATTTGACAAAACAAAAATGAGCCGATAGATAAGCACAAGACACCAGGACTAAGATTATCGCAAGGCATACTCACATCATCCATCCGTCGAGGTAGGTATCCCATGACTTGTGACTCTGGGTTCCCTACGACATGGATGACTCGAGGAAACGGCCCCCACCCTAGAAACGCATTTGGCATGGATAATACAGTACATTAGCACATATGCAAGGTGAGATATCGCTAAATAAGTTCTACGAGGGGGAAGACACCATGTTGAAACCGTCTTACCTTACGCCGTCAGTAGGTAGGGTACTGTCACACTCTCACTGGCCCTACGGGGCTGGGCTGAATGGAACAGACTGGGGTGATCCCTCAAGGCTGCCTCATCCAGTCTGTGCCGTGCCGCGCTGCGCTGCGCTGATGAGAGGGGATTAACAGACAGGGTTTGGGCCTAAACATGTCAAACCTTGAACATTAATTAATTATCTGCCTTAAATCCATTTCTACTCGCTCGGCTTCATCTTCATCTTTAATGTGACGTCTTTTCTCATCCTCTCTCCCATAAATCTTCATATGGGACCTCGCTCCGTTAACAATTACTCATTCACAACTGCCGCGTCAGCACCACATCCTTTCCTCAGTCAGCCTTACCACCGCAGACCGTAACCCACCAGAAATGCTATGATGGCTACCTCGAGCGTCTTCTCCGCTCGGCGTCGCACGTCACCCGGTGACTCTGACGACACCGATATGAGCTTCCCTCGCTGCGCACCTGGAAGACGTATTCCCAGCTCGGAATGGGAGAAGATACGCCCAGTAATCACGAAGCTCTACCAGGAAGAGAAGCGCCCGCTCAAAGAGGTCATGGAAGTCCTCGAGCGTGAGCATGGCTTCACTGCAACGTGTGTAAACCTCTTCGTCTCTTCCTTAAAGTCTCGAGTGTTGACTCTTTTTGCAGTGTCAAGATGTACAAATCTAGGATTTGGAAGTGGGGTCTTGATAAGAAGCTCAAGAGTGATGAGGTTCTCGCCATTCTTATCCTAAGGACCGAACGTGAGGCGCAGGGAAAGATATCAGAGTTTACCATTCGTGGCCAACCAGTCGATCTGGATAACATAAACAGATACATCCGACGGAATCCGGGCCTTGTGGCGCGCTTCAGAGCGGGTGTTGTGCCCAGCATCCAGACGACTCTCGAGGTCCAATGTCGAACGCCCTCACCAACACCGAGTCGTCACTCGTTGCCACCACCGATGGAGATTTCCAACGTCGAACAGGTTCTCAATCTATTCAGGGATTACTTCGATACCTCTTTCACCAATGGAATATGGAACCATGAATATAACGGTGACTGTGTCAGCCTAAGGCCTGGCGACCGAAGCGTTGAGCTGTTTGAACGTGTGGTAGCCAGCTTTGGTCTTGTCAACAGGTCAATGATGAGAAAAGACGAGATCTCAATAAGCACTCTCCTCACTCCAGCATTTGAGTCGCTCAAGGAGATAATCGCCTCCGAGAGCCCAGTCTTCGCAGTACGCACAGCCTTCCTCTTGTGGTATCTCCATCGCTTTCACAAGGAAGACCTTCTTCACATTGTCATGAACTACCTCGCTGGCTTGGTACCTATTGTACTGGGTCACGATCACCTGGTGGCACGGATCTGGAAAATTATTGGGTCTCAGGACTTCTCCGATCATTACGAACTCTCCACAAGGCTTTACTCTTCTCTCGTACCCCTCTTTGAGGAGCGAATTGGGTTCGCCAACTCCCTGACCACAATTTTGTACTGCGATCACATCGATTGCCTTGTCCATCATGGCCAAACAGCAGAGTCACTTAGTGTCGCTACACAATACAGAACACGGGCAGAAGCCACGCAATTACGACATCCTTGGCTCCGCGAACTTGCAATCTTACAAACAGGCATCATGTGCAATGCGAAAACAGCCGAGGGCAAGATCGAAGAGGCAATGCAGTGTCTTCAAACACTAAAAGATTGGGACCTGAACGAAGAACAACAAGCCGGTATGAACATTCAACTAGGCAACTACGGCTATCAAATGGGCGACTTCCCCTTGGCAATCAACTGCTTCCGCGAAGCATCTCGCCTCATAACCGCCAGCCAAGGCGACGAGAGGATCCATCTCACATGTCTCGCAAACCTCGAGTCTGCACTGCGCAAAAGCGGAGAGGCTGACGAGGCAGCCCAGGTGCATGAGCTACGACTCACACGATTATCAGACTTTGCCAGGGAGACTGGCACCTTTGCAAATCTGCCTGAATCCTGCGCTGCGGCCGTGAGTCCGGGGGATAGTTACAGCTGGGAAGCTCAGCAAGTGTCTGATTGGCACTGGAGTGAGGACGGGCACGGTAGTGCGATGCCTACCTTGGGATTGACATGATGCCTGCAGCATCTACTTACTGCATTGTGTTTCATCATACAGGGGGGTTCTACACGATATGAAATATGACTTTGCGTATATATATTGAGCGATGATTTTGGGGGTTTAACGCTTTTACGACTAAACATTTTATTACGACGAAGACACTATCAGGCATGAATTCAAGAGACAAAGAGGAAAATCTCTGCTCGTACTGAGAATCCAGATGATTGACAGAAGGATCAGTCTAGAAGACTAGCTGGTGGGCATCTTGGACGAAAGCGGTATCATTTTTCGAGGCCACAACTGGCGACCTCCCGGGGCT